CCGCCCGCCCCGTCGTTTTTACCAGAAACTTTATTTTTGGGACGCTGCTCACCACGTGAGATCTTTGGATGCTCCTGCCCCGGCGGCTCTCCGCGGAGAACCGGCTCCTTTCGCCCTTTTTAAACTTTTGCTTTTTCTTTTGAGTTGTTTTGCTGCAAAGAGTGAGCGAGTGAACTCTGGGGAATGCCCGAGCGAGCCGTGAAGTCGCCTGGCTGTTGACAATAAACAACTGAAACCACAAATGTCATTCTTGAAACCTCCGCGGGCTCCGTCGTCTGCTTTTGCCACCGTTTCTCAGCGTCCCCTCCCCCCCCGGGGCGAGGGGGGGGGGTAAGCAGAAGGAAAGCGTGCCGCGGGGGCCGACCGCCGGCTCAAGTCGAACGACTGGACTGCCGTCGGCCCTGGAAAAGTCGGTCCGCGGACAGACGGAGGACAGCCGCCTCGCGCTCTTCTCCTCTTGACGGCCTTGGCGCGGACGGGTGACCCCGAGGCGGCGGTCTGCGCGGGAGGCCTTTGAGCCGGCGGCCGTGATGGAGGCGACCCGAAATCCCGACGCTTTCCTTCTGTCGGCCGGAGGACTCGGACCGATGCCGGCGACCGCCGCCGGGATGGATCTCTCTCTGGCCGGAGGTAACGCTACGCGGCCGCTCGTCGCCGGTGTGACTTGCTCTCCTTCAACTCTTAGGTCAGCGGACGCCGCTTACCGCGATGTTTCGGGCCCCCAGGATGGCGCGCGCGCGCGCTTCGGAATCTTCACGAGAGGAGATCGGACAACGTCTGGAAGTCCCACAACGGGGAAACGGGGCGCTGGCTCAACGGCAGCAAAATGAAGGACGGAGGAAACGCGTTGCGCAAAACGGGAAGCGGGCCGCCGGACCGCCCGTCTGCCTTGGTGTTTCGGAAGGGTGCTTGCCGGCGACCTTTTTGGGTGAGTGAACCCCCCAATGTTTTGGAGCCCCCCCCACCTTTGTTTTCACAGCATGGAATCGGGATTGTCAAGGATCCCCAAACGGGTCCGCGAGTGGGCGCTGCGGAACCAGGACATCATCGGGTTGTGGGCCGAGACCGCCGGCGTTGTCTTTGCCACACCCTGAAATAGTTGCCAGCCGATCGCAGGGGCGTCCCGTATTGGCACTCGCGATCGCACCGAGGGCCGCTGGAGATGGTTCGCTCACTTGGAGTTCGAGAACCTCGCTCTGGCATCACTGGCGAGAAGCTTCCGGTCTTGAGCAAAGGCAACATTCGTTTTGCTCCTTGACAGCGTGCGGGCCAATCGGTGACGGAGCGCTTTTGCGGCAGCCGCTCGTTTTTCGAAGGCGCGTTGGAGTCATTGCATCGGAACCACCGAGCCTTTCACCGTTCGCCTCCGTCTCACGCGACCCAAAGCCGGACGCGTCGAAAGATGAGGGACGCTCGCGGTCCGGCGGAGACAAACGGAAGAAGAAACCTTTCGCTTGGGTCCACGGTGGGAACTGGAGCGCGACTCTCAGCGCAAGACTTCAAACAGCCTTTGAAAAGGGTTCCATTGCTGAGGGCAAATTGACTCGTGAAACGCAAAGACTCCCAATCGAAGTTGAACGATTTATTGCGTCCAAAAGTTGACATGAACATTTGAAATCGTTTTTGCGAATGGGCTTGTGTGGGTTCGTGTGTTTATCCCCTCCTTCATCCCACAGGCTGTGGACTGTGTGATGCGGGTGCCCCGTGATATTAAGAGTTAAAAAAACCCATTTAAATCTATTCTTAAAACGAATAAACATTGTTCATTAGTATTTGTATAGTTTTGTCTTCAATGCATGATTGATATTCGTCGCCTTTTTTTTTCTCCATCATGCCGTGAGTTAAGGACTTCCGCATGGGCAAACCGTGTTTTAAAACGTAAGAAGTAAACATTGTTTACTAATGTTATGGTTTGTGTTCGCAGAGCGGGATTTACGCCCCCCCACGTCTAATAATGCCACGCGGTATTGGCATGTGCAAGTAAATACTCTGTGGCATGGTGTAGAAACGATGCCGAGCGGGGAAAATGTTCCAAAGAAATTACAAGAAATAACGTTTCCTTCAAATATTTGGTCCGTGTTGGTGAAATGTCGATCGAATGCTATTTTTGTTGGTTTTCCCATTCTAAGCAGGATTCTACGTTCATTTGTCCGACAAGTACATTCGAACGCATTTGCGTGTAGCTTTGATAAGATAAGACAAGAAAACCTTTATTTGTCTCCAACGGAGACAGATATCTACTGATCTGTTCAATTTTCGATCAAGAAAAAAAGAAAATCAAGCTCGCAGCCAGTTCCGTCGGAGTGGCTCCTACCGGTGGACAGGCAACGCCATTGCACCCCTCCGAAGCATTTCAATGGGGAGTACCCATTCTGCTCGTTGACCCCTGGGGGGGGGGGGCTTTGAGCAGCGGCAAAAACAACGAAGGTGTGGCTGGGAAAGAATTCTCGCCCTCGGGCGATTTGGCTTGTTTGTTTCGTCTTTCTTCCATGTATCAACTCGTTTCGTGAATGAGTAAAAATCAAAAGGGAGAAGGTCGAAAGGCCGGAACGTGGCTCTTGGGTAGACATTTCGCGCCACCCACTGCAATTTCCGGGTTTCCGTCTCTTGTAAATTGAACTCCTCAAAAACAAACAAAAATCGTCCTCCAGTATTGACTTACAGCGTAAAATAAGAGATTCTTTGTTGCGGGGTGTGCTGTTTCCACGTGAAGAGTCCGAAAGCAAAAGAGCGCGCTCTACTTCGCCATTGAAAACAGGGCGACGAAATGATCGAATCAACGGATTCCCGCTCGTCAGGTCGTCCAGTATTGACTGATTATGTCCAATAATCGATTTTGTTGCTTTGAGGCCGTCTTATCTCTCCCGCCCATGCTCTGCAAGTTTCTTTTGTCCTGTTTTTTTCAGGTGATTGTCTTTAATCCATTTTCACCGGTTCACTTTGCATTTGTATGCTTTGCGGGGCTCTTCCGTTGTGCGGTGTGTTTATGAAACGGAAGCCGAAAGTCATTTGAGCGCCCCTGGTTATTGTTGTTTTTTTTTTGGGGGGGGGGGGCAATTGAACTAAAGCAGGGGTCTCCAGCTCCGGGCCTGGAGGGCTCCCGTCCTGCCTGTCCTCCAGCTCTCCCAGGAGCAACACACCTGATTCAAATCATCAGGATCATCGCGATGCCGCTTCAGAGGTGGCTCGTCTAAATCGGGTGTGTTGCAGCTGGGAGAGCCGGAGAACGGGAGCCCTCCGGGCTCGGGGTTGGAGACCCCTGAGCTACAGGCTAAAGTGGATGGGCGAGCACGTGGCGGAGCGCATCGAATGGCCCTGTGGCTAATGGGTGTGTCAAATCATTGAGTTTGTTGCTTTGATGTGTTTTGACTGCGTCAGAAGATTGGCGCGCTCCGCCATTAACTTTGCATTGGGTGAAAGAGTTGATCAAAGCACCCGGGACTCCTGTGGTCGCTGTTGCTGACGCGCCCGGTTGGCCTCGTCATCGAAACTCTCTCTGCCTGTTCTGTCCGGATTTCAAGGTATTTCAAACGTAAGTGAATTGAAGACAACTTTGTCAAATGCGCTGTACGTATGTTACACATACGGCACAGATGAAATGTCTTCCTTCTCAACATAAAACGAGGCGTACTCCGCCATTGACTTTGTATTGGATGAAAGAGTTTTTCAAAGCACCCGGCCCCCCTCCTTAAGTAGCGTATTCCGGTTGGCGCTGTCGTCTGGCTTTGCGCGTTCTCTGCTTTCGCGGGAAGCCAAACGTAAGAATGATCTCCTCGGCTTGTTTTTCTTGTTCCTTCTTTGCTCTTAGATGTGCGTTTACTGGTTCAGTCTGGATTTCTGTGCTACGCGGGCTCTTGCGTTCTGGGCTCTGGGCTGCGATGCGGTGCGGTGTGGTGTTTAAACGGAAGCCGAAGTGTACCTCGGCCGCGCTGCGCTTCTGTTTAGCCTTTGAGCTAACGCGGATGGATGAACACGTAGCGGGGCGCTGCCGTATGAGCACGTCAAACAATTGCATTGCTTTGATGTGTTTGAATGCGAAGAAAACGTCAGACAGTTGGCGTACTCCGCCATTAACGTTGTGTCGGATGACGCAGCTGATCAAATGACCCGCGAGTACTGAGGGTCGCTCTAGTGCCGGCCCCCTCCTTAAGCGTTTTCCGGTTGGCGCTGTCATCAAATCGCTCTTCGCGTTCTCAGCTGCGTCCGCACTGCTTTCAATTGACGTCGAACGTAAGACTAATCTCTGCTCGTTTCTTTCTTTCACTTGTTTTTACGAGTTCAGTCTGGGCTTCTGTGGTACGCGGGCTCTTCCGCTCTGGGCCGCGATACGGTTTGGCGTTTAAAGGGAAGCTAAAGTGTCATTCGGCCGCGGCCGTTTTGGTCAGGGCTCACGTTGGGGATAACTTGGATGAGCGCGAGGCGGAGCGCGCCGAATGGTTACGTGGCCGACGAGCATGTCAAATATATCCATTTGCTTTGATGTGTCTCAATACGACGCAAAAAAGTCACAAAGCTGGCGTACTCCGCCATTAACTTTGTATTGGATGGAATAGCTGATGAAAGCACCCTGGGGCGTCTGTTGTTGCCGGCCCCTCAATTAGCTTCTTCCGGTTGGCGCAGTCATCTAATCTCGCTGCTGAAGGTTTTCAAAGTAAGCATCTATTCGCTTGTCTGTTTTTTCCCCTCTTGCTATTTAAATGCGTTTTTACGGCTTTGGTCTGGATTTCTGTGCTACGCTGGCTCTGCGATACTGTGCGCTCATCAAACGCAGGCCCTGGTTGCGTTGAGCCGATTGGGTTCACGGCTAACACGGTTTGATAGGCACGTGGCTTCTCGGCACGTTCTCTGTTGTTTTCAGTGGACTTCAAACGGAAAGATCTCTTATCTCAGCTGAGTGTTTTGTGTTTTTCCTTTTGAAATGCGTTATCACTGATTCAGTTTGGATTTCTTTGCTACTCGGGCTCCTTCGTTCTGGGCTGTGATGCGGTGTGCTCATGAAATGTAAGGCCCAGTGTAATTTGTGTTCGGCCTGGTTGTTCAACCATTAAGCTAACGGCTAATGCATGAGCACGTGACGGAGCGCACGGAATGGTGACGTGGCTAATGGGCATGTCAAATAATGTTGCTTTGATGTGTGCTAAGAAAAGAAAATCATAAAGTTGGCGTATAATGTATCGAAGCACCCAAAGCCTCTCCTTGAAGGTTTCTGGTTGCCGCTGTCATCTCATCGCAGCGCATTCACCGTGTTGTTAAGGCGACGTCAAACGTAAGCATCTCGTCTCTCAACTGCTTCATTTTTATTTTTCCCTTTGAAATGCGTTTTCACTTGTTCAGTCTGGATTTCTGTGCAACGTGGGCTCTTCTGTTCTGTGCTGCGGTGTTGAAAAGAGAGCCAGACTCGAATTCAACCACACTCTGCTTGTTTTGTCATTGAGGTAACGGCTAAGTTTGAGCTCAAGGTTCATTCGCCCTTCTTGTTCTTGAAACTGTCTTACTGGCGTTGGTTTAATGTAGGCATTTGCTGTTTACCCGGGATAGCTTCGACCCACCATCTCGCATATCAGTGGCTGAGCGGTGTTCACCATCGGACAGGCTGATGGGTGCAGCGTGCTGCCGACTCACCCGCCGCCCCTGACCACCGATGGGGATGTTAACCTTCCAACGCGCCTTCGACCTTACACCACCTTCACCAGGTGATCTCCACTACTGCCCCGAACACGAAGCACAGAAGCCTTCTGTAGACGTCGCCGGACCCTCACTTCCAAGGTCAGTTACCCATAAAGCGCTTTGTTTCAGCTGTTGTGAAAGTGCAATAGAAATAACGGTGTATAGGAAAACCTCTCACACCTCACCCTTCTCCTAACACTGAATGGAACCCCAAACCTGTATTCTTTGAGAAGGTTGCAGTGACCAACTCTGACCAGCAGAGGGCAGCTATCGCCGCTTGCCGTGCAGAGCTAAAGGGGGCTCTCGTATTTCAAGGTGAAGAAGCCTTACCCCTAAACCTAACACTCGTCCTCGAACCCTTTATCCTAACCCTAACCCTCGAACCTAAAGATGTCAAACTCAAGTCCTGGAGGGCCGCTGTCCTGCACGTTTTCCAACTCTCCCTGTTGCAACATACCCAATTCAAACGATCAGATCATCAGCAAGCTCTGCGGAAGCCCGATGTTGAACCTGTTGATTTGAATCAGGTGTCTTGCAACAGGGAGAGATGGAAAACAAGCAGCATAGTGGCCCTTTAGGACTGGAATTGCCCACCCCTGTTCTAACCTCAATTTTTTTTCGTCAACAGATGCTACAGCTTCTTGTTTCTTTCCAAACTATGGTTGCAGAAAAAGTGTGGAACGTCATGAACAGTTTGAGCATGATGTCTCTGATCCACTGGTCAAAGGACACTTGGATTTTCTTTCGATACCTGCTTCGAACAAGGCGGATGCAGGTACAGTGGTAGCAATTGCGTGACGGTTGACGTGTTGTTTCACGACCACATTTTGTAATTTCATGTGAATCGCCTGAAAAGTGCTTTGTTTCAGATGCAGCTGTTATGAAAGCAGGAACTAAATAATATACTGTATAACTTCGAACATGAACCCCACTTTTAACGCCCAACTCTATACTCAAATCCTACTCCGAACCCAAACGCCAAACCCCCAAACCCCTTAACCTGCATTCTTTCAGAAGGTTGCAGTGACAAATTCTGACCAGCTAGGGCTGCTATTGCTGCTTGTGCACCGCTAAAGGGGGCTCTCAGATTTCGGAGGGAAGAACCCTGACCAAACTCTGTACGCTAATCCCACTAAACCTCCAAACCGAACCCTAAAACGCACCCCTGACCCTTATTCTAACTCTAACCCTCAGCATAATCTCAAAATTGATCTAACCTCTATTCCTAACCCTATTACTTGACCCGATGCCGAAACCCATTCCCAATCCTCGAACCCAAACACTAAACCCTGTAACACTCTAACCTCGAATGCCAAAATACCTAGCTCGAACAGTCAAACCATAAATGCCTAACCGCCTTACCCATAACGCCGAACATCTTAACTGTCAACCCGCCTTATGCTTACTGCCTAATCCTAACTCGAACCTTAACCCGTTAGCCTTACTCTAACTTCCGATCCCCAACCTGATGAAACCCTAACCACCGAACTCCAACCCCCTCACTCCCAAAACCAGGGGTGTCCAAACTCTGGCATCAAGGACCGCTGTCCGGCCGGTTTTCCAGCTCACCCGGGAGCAACACGCCTGATTCAAATAATCAGGATCGTTCTAATGCTGGCTGATGAGCTGATCATCTGAAACCTGCGTGTTGCACCCGTCAGAGCCGGAAAACAGGCAGGAAAGTGGCCCTCGAGCCCCTGAGCTGGACATGCCTACCCTAACACCCCAAATCCTCATGCTTAACCCCAACACCTAACTCTCACCTTGAACCTCGAATTAGTTTTTGTAAGAGGACGGCACAGTTTTACTTCCAAAATTATCTTGCAGCAGATGTGTGGGATGTCAAGCACGCTTGGAGCCTGATGTCTCTGATCCATCGGTGAAAGGAGATGTTAATTTTCTCCTCTTCCATCGATAAGTGCTCCAAACAAGGCACATGCAGACTTGGTTGTTGTGATTGCACGACGGTCCATGTCTTGTGTGTCGTGTTATATTACTGTCATTTATGTTCGCTGATCTGTGGAGCGCTTTGTTTTAGCTGCAGCTGTTGTGAAAGCTCGACATAAATAACGATGTATCACATCCAGTCCTCGCCCCACTCCGAACCTCTAATCCTACTCAAAACACAAACCACCCCAACTTAGAACACCCTCGACCCGAATTCTTTCAGATTGCAATGACTAAGTTTGAACAGCAGAGGGCAGCTATCACTGCTTTCCGTGTAGGTCTAAAGGGGCTCTCGCATGTTACAGTGAAGAACCCTAACCTAACTCCGAAGCCTAAACTCCGTAACCCGAACCCCTGACCCTATTCTGAACCCTAACCCCCTATCACTCGTATATCACCTTCAACATCGACGTGAGTGGAAGATAGATAGTGTGATTTTCTTCAAAGTTTTCCTGGAACAGTTTTTCACCATAAAGAACAAATTCACAGCAGCACAAGGTATGTTGGTGGTCACTTGATTCAAGTTACTTCACAAAAAACAAACAAGATTTTTGTTGTGCCAGGTCCAAAGAGGACACGATAGCTGATCTCTGGAGGATGATTTGGGAGCAGAAGGTGTCGACTGTTGTCATGCTGGCGCACCTGAAGGAGAGGAAGGAAGTGAGTGGTTGTCATGTGGGAAAAACGCCGGCGTAAAAGGTGCTTCTGATCTCCACAATCCTCCCAAAAATTTCATTCGGGTCGGACCCTCATTTTCTTCAGTTAGATCTAAAATTCCTTTCCATTGCAAGTGGCAAGAGAAGAATGGAGGAACAGTCAAAGCGATGGTGGAGAATTAACATTCCAAGGGCTCTGAAATTGCCATTTGAAACAAAATGAAAGATGTCCATTGCCATGAAGGACGTGTGACCAGTACTGGCCGGATCAGGGCTGCTGGACCTAAGGGAATGCGCGTGGCAGTGGAGGACTCCGCCGTGCTGGTGCATTACACCATACGCAAGTTCTACATCCAACACATCAGAAGCATCGAATGGCTCGTTCTGTGCAACGCTTGCCACTCCAACACTTTATATTCATCTGGTAGCAATCCAGCGATGCCGGCAAGATGCCACGTGTGGTCACGCCGCTCCATTTCGCCAGCTGGCCCTTCTCTCCCATCGGCATGCTCAAGTTCCCCAAGAAAGTCAAAGGCGCCCAATCCGCCCTTTGCGTCCACTGCAGGTACACTAAAGGCATCGCGCTTCAAAATATTTTTCTGGCTAATGTTAAGAATATAGCTGATGTAACTACATGATGAGGTCTGTACAACCCAATAATAAAGCAAGAAATCGTTACATTCGTAACTGACAGCAATAAACCAAAGTTGACATGCCTGATGTTTACCCCACCCCCAGCGCCAGCGTTGGTCAGACAGGCAGGTTCATCGTGATTGTTGGGATGATGGACAAGATGCACGCCGGGCAGGAAGTGGACGTGTTTGGCTTCGTTTGGAAATCCGAGAGCAGCGTCTGCAGCTCTTCCAGACGGACGTGAGTCGGGGAA